TTCTTCTTCTGTAAAGTAATAATGTCTGCCTCAGGAGGTTGGGAAGATTAAATAAGTTAATACACGCAAAGTAGTAAGAGCAGTGCCTACTTGATACATATCAACTATTAACTACCATTATTCCTATCACAGAGTCAGAAATGTAGTAAATACTGAGTGTCTGTTGCTTAATGAACTGCTTAACATTAAAATATACTTAATGCTTAACCTAAGGAAAATTCCGTGCTAAACTTGAAAGGAAAAGCAGAGCACACTGAATTTCTCTTAGAATTAGTACATGCTTTCTTTGATTCTAGATATTCTCATTCAGTCACTGAATACATATTTACTGAGCACTTACTATGTCCCAGTCCTCTTCTAGATTTTGATAATACAACACTAAGCAAGATACACAAAGCCCCTGTCCTCCTGGAACTTACACTCTAGCAGGGGGAAAAAGATGTAGAATCACTGAACAAATAATTAAATAATATAATTGTAGGTGAAAATGTTACCACCAAAACCAAAAGTGGGATAAAACAATAGATCTCTCCAGTGGTAAGTGGGCAGTTACTGCTACAGAATGGAGGTTAGAACAACACCCCCAATGAAACCAGGCAGCAAGTTAAATGACTGTCTGGTGAAATGGTATTATAGGTAGGAAACAGCAACTACAAAGGCTGAGAGTCAGGCAGATGCTTGGCTTGGCTAAGGAACAGCACACAGGCCAGTCTGTTTAGACAAGTGTGAGAAGAGAAGAGATAAAGGAGGCTACAGTGGGGATCTGAGAAGTCATTAGAGATTTTGAGCTGTGGAATTAGAAGACTGCATTTACTGGCTAGTCTGTGGGGTCAAGGATGGATGCTGGCTTAGAGGTTGCATATTCAATGGAGAGAGAAATGTGGGTAGTGACAGTTATCTCTGCATATTATAAATGAACTCACTTTGTACCATAACAGGAATTAGTAGAAAATGAAACTTTCCTGGACACAATCCAGCAGTTTTGGGGGCCTGGTAACACAAACAGTTTTATAAAGCGGTGTTCATGAAATCATTAATTAATTTAGAGGATCACTTAAAAATGAAATAGAACAGATGGGAGAGAATGGAAAATGTCCGAATAATACTCTGAGATTTTGTTTCAGTTATATATGGGTATGTTTGTACCGGATTGAAATACAAAATGTAGTTCTCACTGTGACTGGTGGGCAAAATGTTTGAAAAACACTACAAAAAGCTATCATATGTATATATGTGTATTATATAAACTGTCCCTTAATTTTCTTCCATATATATGTATACATATATATATATATATATATATATGGAAGATGTATATATGATAAAACTACAAAACATCTAGAAGAAAGCACAGAATATCTTTGTGAACCTGGGGTAAATAAATATTTATTAAATGGTTTATTAAATATGCTACCACAGAAGAAAAACTTGATAAATTAGACTTTATCAAAATTAAAAACTGTTCTTCAAAGACACATCATTAGGAAAATTAAAAGGCAAGCCACAGACTAAAAAAATGTATTTGCAATACATACATCTGACAGAGAACTTGTATCCAGTTATATGAATCATATGATATGTTGTATGAATTATATGATTACTGTTCTTCAGTAGTCAAAAACACTGTTCAAAAAAAAAAACACCAGAAACTTCACAAAAGATATACAAATAATCAAAAGCACATGAAAAGATGTTCAGCATTATTAGTCAGTAGGGAAGATCAAACTAAACCCACAAAGAGATGCCATCACAAACCTACGAAATGCCTAAAATAAAATAAACCAACAACACCAAGTGCTGATAAGGATGCCAAGCAACTGGGCGTCTCATATACTGCTGGTGGGAATACAAAATGGTACAACCAGGACTTGGGATTGACAGTGACAGAGCACCTGCTTAGCATGTGTGAGATCCTGGGTTTAATTCCAGTACCAGTACCACAAAAAAAAAAAAAAGAAAGAAAAGAAAAAAAATCAAAAAAGAAAATGGTACAACCACTTTGGAAGCAAAGTTGATTATAAAGTTAACTCATCATACAACACAACCATACCACTTCTAGGTATTAACCTGAGTGAAACGAAACTTATATTCACACAAAAAGTTATATGTGAATGCTTTATTCAAAATCATCAAGAGCTGGTGAATGGAGAAACAAACTGTGGAACATTACTCAGCAATAAAAAAGAACAAGTTATGGGTCTACACAACAACATAGATGAATCTTAAATGTATTATGCTACGTAAAAAAGGTCAGACTCAAGGCTACATAGTATATTAATTCATTTATGGAGCAGTCTAAAAGAGAGAAAATTATAGGGACAAATCAGTAGTTTCCAAGGGCTGAGAGTAGTGGTAGGGAGTTGAACATAAAGAGTTAATGGAGAATTTTTTAGTGATGGAATTCTTCTATGTCTTTTAGGGTGGTAGTTAAATTGACTATACATGTTTTGAGAACTGTACACTTTTAAAATGGTGAGTTTTACTATGAATAAATTATTCTCCAATTTTAAAAACATAAAATAGACTCAAATATTAATTATATTTATAAAATGGAACAGAGTGTTCACTAGTATCTTTGAGGGAATTTATTTTATGGTACTTTTTCTGAAATATTTCAACGATACCACCTCATGCTCCCCAAATAAGGTTCCACACAGATTAAAACCATAAACATTTTAAAAGAATTTTTTTTCTATTTGAGGTGGGGAAGGCCTTTCTCAGTGAGGCATAAAAAAACAGCTCCCAGGCTTTCACTGAAGTCAGAATCTCTCTATTTTTGGAACTATTAATATTACAGAAACACCCCATCTCTATTTTTTAATTTAATGATGCTTGTCCCAATTTGTATCGCGTAATTGAAAATGACTTGGCACTATCAGGCAGCAAAATGGAAAAATGTGTTTGTCAGTTTCGTCTGAGTAGTGAAAGCACCAAGAACATATGTCGTGATGTCCCCCGTCTGAGTCCCCAGAATGACTTCATGGGCCATGGAAAATCAGCTTCTTTGTTGACTCTCCCTAACACCTGAACAAACTCACTTTGCCATTTCTGGAAGGCTGTTCATGGTACCAAAAACAGCGGCTTTCCTTTCCCTGCCAAACCTGCCAATGAAATTCCATTTCTCAGATTTTTTTCTCCCTCTGCTAAGCAGAATCATACCCATAATTAGAGCTCCATTTTTTTTTCTTTTCTGTATTTCCAACATTTTTTTCCCAGAAAATACACACACCTGGAATCTGTGGGGGTTTGGCAAGAATTATTCACAGACAAAACACAGATTCTGGCCCTGTATTTCTTCAGTGTTTTTCAGCAGCTAAATTTGCTCTATCCCCCTTTTAATGAAAGTCACCTTGCAGGGATGTGGGAATGATAAAAGCAGAAGGGAATCTGATCAGGGCTGGCATGGTGCTGAGGCCCTGTAAAACAATACCCCTGAATTGCTGCAAAATTTGGCCACTTTTTGTTTTCCAGCTTTGCACCTGAGCTGCACAAGCAGCAGAATCAAGCAATGTCCAACTCATTTTAGATGTTACCTAAGCAAACACTTTATAAAGACTTTCCAAATCCTTCGGAAATAGCATACACCTTGTCGATTAATTTACAAAATATTTTTATTAACTTAATTGCATTGTTTACTAATAATTAAGCTCTTCGTGCATTATTAATATTAATGAAGCAATAAATTTTTTTATACCATACATAACTGGGTAATGGCTTACTTCCTAAGATAGCCAAAGAGAAGTTGAGAAAGATCGTAACAACAGCAGCATCTTGCTTAATAAACCTTTACAGGACATCACCCACAAGCTAGACCAAAAAAATGGTCCTTTTTCCACCTAAGGTGAGTACAAGACAGGATCCACTATGTACTTTTTGTGGGGTCTAGTTCAAAATGAACATGTGAGTCCCCTTGTTCAAAAATTAAGAATGCAAACATTAAACCAAGTGCAGGTTGCATGTCCATGAAACCAGTTCTGCTATCAAATCATTTATTTGGCTAGAAAGTTGGTATGAAAAGTAAAGCATTTCTCTGTTAAATTAGTAGAAACGATTTAATCGTTTTCAATGGGTGTGTTTGGGATAGAAATGGGGTTGTAGAGTCTTAGGACCTCGTCTCCGGTTCTCCCACTTCTGAGATTTTTCATCCTGTTAGACAAAAGTAGTTCTTTAGGGTCTGTCATGTAAATAAAGTGTGGTCCATGAGGCAGCAAGCAACCTCTGGGAGATTTGCAGACTCTCGGGCCCCACCCCAGACCTACTGAATCAGAACCTCATTTTAACAAGATCCCCAGAGGATTCATGTGCATAGTGCAGGCTGAAGTGTCACTGTCGAAGCAGCCACGGAAAACCTCCGTCTCCTGCTTCATCTGGCTGTTGGGAGGCCAGTCAGCTCTAACCCGCCTCCCACTTTGTGTATAGTTATGGATCCCAGAAACTCATCGCCCGGCTGAAACTCACTCACCCGGAGACTACCAGCCTCTTCCCTGATGATCGCCCCCCTGGCCCTAGGCTGCCACTGCGTCCCGCGGCTCCCGGGGCCACCTGATCTGGACCCGCCAGGTGGTGCTGCACTTAGCCACACCGGCCCAGGGCGCTTCTGCGCTCCTCAGGCAACGCCGCACCCACTTGCCTGGCGCGACAAACCGAGTCCCCAGGAGCCGCGCCTGGCAGACGGACCGCCCGCGCAAGTAAGGCTTATGGCTCGGTTTCCCAGAGGGATGGGAAGGGTATGAGTGCGTTTAAAGGTTTTGGGTCCACACGTTCCCCCCACTTCAGAAAACGCGTCGCCAGAGTCCCCTTTCCCACGCTCGCAGCTTCCCACTGCCTTTCAGGACGCCCCGGCTCAAAGCCGCAGCCGGGCTGAGGGAGCGTTCGCCCCGCCGTCCTGTCGCCCTCCAGGTCCACACGCTGCGACCGAGCCTTCCGCGCCCGTCGTCAGCTCAACGGGCTCGGTCTTGGGAGCCCGTGGGCTCAGCCCCATCTCGGCGCTGCATGCTTACCTGCCGGTCCAAGCGATGCGCTGGCTGCCGGCGCCCTCGGGCCTCGCGCTCCCCTTTCCCTCGGGCCGCGTCCCCCCTCCCCTTTCGGGCTGGGCTCCGTCCCGGGACCGCTCGCCGCCCGCCGCTCTCCAGCTGCCCAGCGCGGCGTGGCGCGTCCGGCGCTCGGCGGCGGCAAGGCTGGGCGCGGAGGCTGAACGCGGAGGTGGGGAGCGGGCGGGGCGCCAGGAGAGGAGGGTGTGAGCGGGCCGCGTCGCCCGCCCAAGCCCTGAGGGGAGCTTCGGGCGCGGGGGTGGGGAGAAGTGGGGGCCGGCTGCCCACCCTACTCCGCCCAGGATCTCCGCGGCGCCTCTGGGCTCTCTGGACCGCTTAGACCCTCCCACTCGGGGACCCCAACGTCCACATCCAGCAGCTCACCTTTAGGGGTCGCCCTGGTACCCAAAGGCCTGTCCCACCACGTTCAGCACTGAAAGGTGGCAACCCCTCCCCAGGTCGCCCCTCTTCCAGAATATTCCTCAATGCAGAAACCAAACCACTCCAGAGAGGGATTTGGAGAAACTGGTAAAAGATTTCTCGTCCTGGAGAAGGATTCAGTTCCGTGGTTTCCTAGTGAAGGACATAATTCACTGGGTATGTAGAAACTGGGATCCTCAGCGCTCTGAGGCAGGGTGGAGTAGAGGTTGAGGTGGCAGAATAGAAAATTGCCGCTGGTCCCCTCTACCTTCTCCCACTGTCAGCGTCTCTGCTCTCCGCACGTTCATAGATTAAAACCTAGATCTGGACAGCACTGATACATCATCTAAGCAACTTGTCAAAGCACCCGTTTTACAGATGGGAAACTGGAGGCTCGGTTCTGCAATATGAATTAGTTGTAAAGATCAGGAAAAAAAAAAGTAAGTGCTCTGAATTTCCTGTCTGGCTCCTTTTACAACCACCACCTTCTTTTATTCAAGTAACACCTATGTTGACAAAAATGTTTTATTACTTTAAAAACACGATTCTCTTTCATTAAAACCTGCGTAACAATATAACATTTTTCTTTATTATCAAAATTGCATTCATGGATAAAAGCTTTAGCACACAAGGGAGGGGTGAGGATAGGTAAGACACCTAAAAAATTAGCTAGCATTTGTTGCCCTTAACGCAGAGAAACTAAAGCAGATACCTTAAAAGCAACTGAGGCCAATAGGGGAAGGGGACCAGGAACTAGAGAAAAGGTGAGATCAAAAAGAATTAACCTAAAAGGTAACACACACCCACAGGAAATTAATGTGAGTCAACTCCCTGTATAGCTATCCTTATCTCAACCAGCAAAAACCCTTGTTCCTTCCTATTATTACTTATACTCTATCTACAACAAAATTAGAGATAAGGGCAAAATAGTTTCTGCTGGGTATTGAGGGGGTGGGGGGGGAGAGAGAAGGAGCAGAGTGGGTGGTAAGGGAAGGGGTGGGGACAGGGGGGAGAAATGACCCAAGCCTTGTATGCACATATGAGTAAGAAAACATATCTAAAGGACAAAAAAAATTGCATCCATGGCCTTGGAGACACCATGTTTATAAAGGGCAGATCTACAGCATGTATCTAAGCTGACTCTGCCATATTAGCCACATTCATTGTTGAATGTGGCTTTGGAGAAAGGGTTGGGTTTGTTTTGCAAACACCAGTGTATTAACACTCACAACATTCTAGCTGGATAAATGAATGGACTGTGTTTTCAGAGAGACTTTTGACTGGTTGGATTAAGAAAGAGTGGACATCAGGAAACTCATCCAGTTTACATAACAATTTAGAAGTTAATGAGGGAGGAAAGTATTCAGTGTTACTGATTCAGTGTTACTCCAAAAGGGTTAAATTGGTTCTGTTTGAATGAATTTACTTACTTATGTTTGATTTATTATAAAACAGACTTCATATTGTATAGAATCACCAGAGCTCTCACACAGCTAGTGGGAGTGTAAATTGTTTCTAGCGCTTAGAACTCCGGCAGAATGTATTAAAACTGAGTACAACTACCTTATGATGTGCAATTCTTCTTCTAGGTGTATACTCAACACAAATGTGTATGCTTACCAAAGGAGATGAACAAGAATATCATGCCAGTATATCTATAATAGCTCCAGACTGGAAACAGCCCAAATGCACATCAAATGTAGAACTGATCGAACTGTTGTGGTGGTATAGTCACAAAATGGAATACCAGGCAGCAATGAGAATGCATGAACCAACTGCTGTGCTGAATCTAGATGAATCTTATAAGCAATGTAGAGTGAAGGAGGTCAGAGAAATGTACATACATGTAATTCCATTTCTACAAAGGATAAATAAGGCACCACTAATCTATGGTGCTAGAAGTTGGGCTAGTGGCCACTGATGAACTAGAGGGGAGCTACAAGACAAAGTACAAAGTAAAGCACACCCACAGCGAGCATACATTGAGACACCCTTTGAACATCAACTTAACTATTAATAATGAAAACCAGGGCTGTAAAATAGGTACAGTGGGGGTACTAGTGGGAGGGAGAAGGGGGAAGGAAGGAGATTAAGGTGACAGCATATGATAGACGGACTTCATATACCTGTATGAAACAGAACTAAGAAACCTCTTGCAATTGCTTTAAGTGGGGTGGGGAGGGGGTGGGAGGGAGAGACAATGGGGGCAATGTAACTAATGTACAATATAAGTCTAATCAGAATTGTCACTATGAATCCCACCCCCCTGTATAATGAATATATCCTAATTTTTAAAAAAAGAACTTACAGAGTGCAGGTAATGATCTTGACCTGGGCGTTGGTTACATGGATCTATTATATTTGTAAAAATTCATTGAAATTCTCACCTATGATATGCTCACTTTACTGTATATATGTTCCACTTCAATAAAAGCTCTCATTTTAAAATTGCTTACACTTTTAAAATCAAGGTATCAGAATAAGTATGCTTTTCCTTTAAACAAATTATTCTTTTTTAAGAAAAAAAAAAGGACTTTAAGGAAATATGTCTAAGAAACAATGTGAGTCAGTCCTTACCCTAAAATTAAAAATTAATATTTTATATACTTCCAGCTAAATTTCCATTCTTCTTGACACATTTTGGATCAACGTAACTGACATTAAGACCTACAGAAGAGAAAGATGCTAGGACCAACGAGAGGACCCAACCCCTCCAGCCAGAGAACTCTCTGCCTTTTCCAAGAGGGAGCCCTGATTACTTGCCTCCTATACAGGTACTGTCTGGTGACACGAAGAGAGGCTATGGGTGATCAGGATTTATGATTAAATATTTATCCAAAGCCTGTGGGCTAATGTCCCAGCAACTGAAGAGTGGGTGACTTTGGCCCTTACCCCACAGGCTCTTAGAGTTGATCAGTTAGCAAACCTGACAGAGACTGAGTACAGAGTACATAGGGCAAAAATCCTTGTCTCCCTGCCCCCTTCTACTGGTAAATCTGGTAATGTGGGCTCTTGGCAAAGGGAGGTGGCAGAGGAAGACAGCTCACCAGTGCTCAGGGCCCAACTCTCCTTAGAACTTCAAATGCAATTGACGTGTAGTAAAATAGTCTACAAATATAATAGATTCATTATGTCCCAAAGGCAAGAAAGTACGATTAAAATGTGACAAGACTCAGGTGTAAGCCAAAACAGTGAGCTGAGGATCTAGAATATCAACAATAATAATAGATCTAACATTGTTAGATCTTTACATACTTTATATTTTATTTCACTAAATACTCATGACATCTCACAGCAGAAAGTACAGTTGAGGAAACCAAGGCACAGAGGTGTTCAGTAGTTTTTCCCAAGGTCCATAACTAGTAAGTGGTAAAGACAAGACTATAATAGGTTGAGCATGACTCTCTGTTAACACCTAGGTAGGAAAGATATAACAATACATGGCAAAAGTACCTGATAGAGAATCAGGAAATTAGGGGTTGGGTGTCTACCAGTTTGTCCACCACCTAATCAGTAATTTTACTTACATAATCTGTTTCTTAGTTTCTCATTTGTAAAATATGTAGGGGATGACAAGGTCAATCAAAACTCTAGTAGCAGTGCCAAGGATTGGTGGATTTGGGATGATTTAGGCTTTCCCTTAATCTCTATCAACACTCCCACACCCCAAATAAAAGACATCTAATAAAACAATGCACTATACAAACGAAACAAGAAAAGCACCCTCACCAACATGCCTCTAAATTCTCACACGCCTGTAATCAGACTACCATGCGTGCATTTCTTCTTTATAGAAATTCTATCACAACACCGCTCAGAAGTCTCTTCTGGCTTAAATCATTTGTCCATTTAAAGAACATTTATTTTATCTGGGCGTTGTGGCACACATCTGTAATCCCAGCACTCAGCAGGCTGAAGCAGGAGGATCATGAGTTCCAGGCCAGCCTGGGCTATGTAGCAAGACTCTTGCCACAAAAAAAGAAAAATAATCAAACAAAATGTTTATTTTATGCCAATGGGATAAATGAGGACAGCCTAGTTATGCTGGAATAACAAACAGCACTCAAAATCTCAGTGGTTTATACAATAAAGTTTATTTCTTATTTTTTATTTTATTTATTCATTTATTTTTGCAGTACTGGGGTTTGAACTCAGAGCCTACACCTTAAGCCACTGTACCAGCCCTTTTTTGTGAAGGGTTTTTTCGAGATAGGGTCTCACAAACTGTTTGCCCAGGCTGACTTCGAACCACAGTCCTCCTTATCTCTGCTTTCTGAGTAGGTAGGATTATGGGAAGCTAAGATTACAGGCATGAGCCACCAGTTTATACTAGTGTATTTCTTATACTTTGTGTTCATCATAGTTAGAAGCAGGGACTCTACCTATTGCAAGCACTCAAGAGTTGGAGGGGGGAAAAAACACTCTGGACCACAAGTATTTAGACAGTTTAGCCTAGAAGTGATGTGCAACGCTTCTCCCAACTCATCGACTGAATTGTTGATACAGGTACATTCAAACACAGAGGACCAGGAGGTACAGCCCTAGGAAGTCCCAGGAAGTGAAGAGTTGGAAATAT